ATTTTGCTATGAATGAAAGGCTTTCTGCTTGGTAAGTGTTGCTGTCCAAGCTACAGAATGTTCACTCTAGCTCACCCATGATAGCATCTGAAACTGAAGTTTAAAATGACAAACGCTTCATGAGCTACAGTAACCCCTCGAGCTCTTTCCTCTAGAAGTTTTCCTCCGTTTCGAAAGGCTTCAGATTTTTTTCTGCCAATATTTCTACAAAATGGAATGTAACCTCAAGAAAACGAAAGGTCTTCTACAGAAGCGGATAGACTCTAAGTAGCGCCCTCCTAGCACAACATTTTGAGAAATCTCTATCAAATTGGGTGGAGACCTAATGACAAGTGGCTTGCTATCGAGACCCATTTTGCATATTTCTTGAACCCAACCCTGCTTTCTGAAGTTATTTGATCGAAAAATGGACACTGATTCGTTCTACGACAATGAAAGCTTATTCATCTGGTAGCAGTGACAAGACGGTGTGAAGACGTGAAACTAATTCCAGTGTAAGTGAACTCTGATTTGAAGTCTAGTGCTTGGCGCATTCTAAAGCAAGCTGGCCGGTGTTTAACGCTTTATTTTGTATGACAAATGCTGAATAAGATGCTACATTCCGAAGGGACCTCGTCTGTTTATATCTACGTTGTTCACCTCATACTCATCATTTTCATTTGCGATGCTCATAGAATGACATCTTCCTTTTCTTTCAAAGACCTCTAGGAATCCTGATAGTTTCCAAAATCACTTTCAGAGTTGATATGAAGGAAGGTCCTTGTCTTACAGATTGCGACTTTTGCATTACAGATCCTTCTTCTGTTCTGTACGGTTGTACATCTGCAAGCACGTAGCAATCGTTCTCGATTGAGAAGTCTACTATACCGTATAGATAGTACGTGAGAAAGTTAATGTATTGATTTATTTCAATTGAAACTAAGAATTTATAGTTTCTTGATACTTATGTGTATGTAATGATTCGAATATGTTTAGAACTGATGTCACCACTGAAACGTCAAGCCCGTGCTGCAACAACATTCAGAGCGCCATTAAATGGAAGTTGGTAAAGTTGTCAATCTTTTAGGTGATATGAGATTTCTCATCGAACGGACGGTTTTGTGATGGGTTGAGATTAATACCAGTTCCACATGACTGATATAATTCGCCGCTGATGAGCGGTATAATCACCAAGAGCGTTTAGCTCAAACATTCCAATTGGTATCAATCAGTCACTGTGACCTAACGAGGAGTAAGACTATTACCTGTAACAAAGTAGTTATTAAGGCGATTATATTAAATTGCCCCATAATTCCCTTCCGCTTTTCTGTTAAAAATAGATTTCTTCCTTCTCAGACTACGATTGAAATATGTTGAAATGAGAGAGACTTATTCCAACAGAGCGACCAGGACTACCCAAAAGAGGCGCGCGGTCTGGGAGCTGAATAACTGCGAATCAAAACAGATCAGAGTCGATTACGCTCAATCATGCTTTACGGATATAAGCTGAAGACTAATGTCCGAAAACAACGAAGAAGACCGGCACAGCCTTCATTCCAGTAACTAGCGCTGATCGGGCGTTGAGGCCATTGTCCAAGGGTATCTGCGAGAGGCGACCGGAGCTGTTTAGATTAATTTGCTCTGGATGTCCAATCACTCCCATTGAAGACACACAGCATATGAAAGGGGGATTCACTTAGATTCTACGATCAGGAAGTCAAAGAAGGCAGTGAATGTACCTTTGTTACCTGACTGAATGAAATAGGAGGGGATGTTCGGCATTCCTGGCGTAACCGCAAAAGTAACCCATTGAGGTCTCTTTTTGAGACTTGAATCACTCCAAGACGAATTTACTATAAAACCAGTCGTGATGATCCTTATGCCCTCCCCACTTTCAATCTCACGAGCTTAGCCGAAATTTAAGCTACATCTTCGGGAGACCGTGCCCTGGTTTTTTTGCCCATAACCGTGACGACGCCCAAGTGGAACATCTCTGGGAAGTTAGCTCCAACATTGCGAGATAAGCCCCCAGAACAGCTTGATGTCGCCAAGCAACAATATCGCGCCCGTCTCACACAACAAACTTGTCCAAAGCTAGCGGCAACTGGGTCTGGCCACCACATCTGCCGTAGACTCCTGCTAGTATTGTACTGAACTTCAGAAGCAGTATCTGCGAGGTGAAGATTCTGCGGAATACAAGTATTTTGAAATCGGCCTGGTTGTGTTCCTCCGATCGTCGGTCTCATTCTTTCAGCCCCACCTTTCAAAAAGTTAGTGCCTAAAGTTCATTTATCATGGTGTTGGTGGAATTCCGTCTCAAAGGGGGGAAGAAACGGAATAAATAATTATCTTTGAAAGTGGTCAGATGTTATGGGAGAACCTGGTTATTGGTGTCACCAAATACGTCTGCAGATATTTAAAGAGCGAATGGGGCAATCTACCCATACCATCGGGGCAGCCATATCGGATTCAGTATAGGTCGGGCATGCTCAAAGGTTAAGCTGGATCAGGTTCCCATATTCCATTCCTGGGAAAGACCACAAATAGGCAGAAGCTTTCTGTACTGAAAGAAGTAAGTTTTCGCCGTTCGGAATAGAAGATTAATTTACCCAGAACCCATTGAAGTGCCCGACAATTTCGAATCACTTCATCGTTGACCCTGCCGTAATCTCACTGCTCTGTAAGATGCGTGGCAGCACGTAAAGTGAGAATAGGCTGAGCCTACGACCAGTTTCTTCACAGCGAAACCCTTTTTGTCGTTTTTGTCCTTTCCCTGGAATGCACGAATGCCTGAAATTCGCGAAATGATGTATGATCACCAGGGGATACGATAATTTTTCATACACCAAACTGGTGCGCCCTACTTGCTTTTTAAGACTTATTGACTTTGTTTAACTATGAAGGGTGGAAAAACAACGATGTCTGAATGCAATTTATGTATGACGACTGGCATCAAAGTAAGTAATAGTTTGAGCAGGACTTGTTGAGGTTTCATGGTGATAAACGCTTTGGCACTCCGCCAACTATATATTCTAGCCCATACAGCGGAGCAATGAACCACCAGGAAATCGAGAGGCAAGCTGAACAGATATCATCTGACTTTCAGGAAGATGAAACCAAAGTTCGGACCGCTGCGGGAAATTCTTCGTCAATGAAGCACGATGGTCGCAGATAATAGAGCGGATTTGTCGCGCGCTTCGAACGGCCAACATTAAGAGCAACTTGAGTTACCGGGCAATAAATCAGAGCCCCATAACCGCGAGTCAACCATTTCTTGCTCAATGGATACTGTGACATTACTATTACACAATAGGGCTCTCACTGAAAGGAGTTTTTTGTTCATTCTCTCCCAAACCGTTCCATCCATCTTCTTGCCTGAAAAAGAACCGTTTGATTTCAGTAGGCATCTCCTGTAAGGATAGGGGTGTGATTTCATAATTTCGGCAGAGAATCATTCCCGCCTAGCAGTAACTGAATTCTTTGATCAAAATTCTGTCACTATACCTACACTAATCGTTTTTCAGAATGTGGCCTCAGCGAGGAAGTGAGAGTGTGCCGACCGAAGTGCGAACCAACATGTGGCGATCGTAATCCGGTAAAGTTTACTCAATGGGCAATGTCTTACTAAATTCAGAACATGGACCTGGATGACTGGGATTTTTTCAGAAACCGTAGAGTTAGGTTGAATCGCATGCAGAACATAGCATCTTGAAAGTGAAAACTGCTCTGACCGAGGCTGAGTTCTCTCCATTTCTCTACTTTACGTTTCTGAGTGGAACTTTGAAACTGATGTTAAGTTGGTCTGTGGTAATGAACCAAAACCTTCGGACTGATTTGGCCCCTCCATCCTAAAGGCAGTCGAGCTACTGAAATCCAAGGATTTCATTCATAAACTCTAATTCCGAAAATATTACTGCCGGTATAAGTAACATGGGTTGTAGCGATCGCGAGTTTAGTCTCGCTACAAGCCGGTAGTTGATAAATTCGAAAAGGAAAATGCCAGATGTCTTTGAAATTTCTAAGCAGCTGAATCCCCTTTCTGGTTTGTATGCCTTCCTTGTAGTCGACTCCTGCTTAGTCGAGTCAGGTCTTAGGCCACTTTTGATATTGAGTATGGTTTAAAAAGCACCACTGTGCTCTCAAGACGGCACAATATCGGAGTGAAACCACTATAAGCACTTATCCAAAAACCTTCACATTTTTGGCTATTACCTAAATGCAGCTCATGCGACGACCATTGATCATTCAGAACATCCCATCAGTTTATCAAAATTCGTATACCTTTCTGCTTGACCTGATTCCCTTATAGACGTGCTCAGCCACATGTGGTGAAGCAGTCTGCATGTGTCAGCGAGGTTCTGTTCGACAGTCTGGAATGTGTATCCCGGTCTCAGCCTGTCGATTTTTCGATTTCGAAGTGGAAACAAAAACCAATGTGAATAAGGTTAGCAACTTTGGAACGGTTTCCATATTTATTCTGAGAATTTCTTCAAAACGACCGATTTGTACTTCAGTTGCCAACAAAACCACAAACCGTCAGAGCGCCATTGGCAAAGGCAGTGAGCCCAAAAGCTGTCACTTCAGCAACGGCCACAGTCCTACATCACCCTCCAACAAGTACGTTTTTCCACAGTTCAACACCAAACTCTTATGATGCAGAACATTGCCTACAACCAACCGCTTCCTACTCTATCGTATTTTTGAATCCCAAAATGCAGAGTGCATTGAAATATTCTTTTAAAAGGTGCTGGAAATCGAAAAAATTCTCTAACACCACAAAGTTGTTTTCAGAGAAGATCTTTTTCAAAAGGCTAGAACGCTCGAATGCGTCCCTTGCTTTTTTTTTCTTATGAAAAAGGGCTTAGAGTCTATTTCAAGCGATTACCATGCCGACAAATACCTTCGCTAAACTCAATGTTTTCCTTGAAAACCTGATTTCTCCATAAAAATGTAAGAAATTCTTTCAAAATTTCAAAATGCCTCGTAAACCTGTTTAATAGTCGTATTATGTTGGAAATGTATTATTCGACCCCCAAAAAAACCCCTTTTATGGAGCACAACAAAACAAAATTGATTTGAATTCAGAATCCTGTGTATAACTCGTCTCACTGCTACCGAAGGCTTTTGCGATCATTATCGGTAGTACTGCCATGACGTGTATTTATAAAGGGTGAAGTCTCTTTGGGTATTGATCAATCCCGTCTAGGGATGCGCCCCGCATTCGACTTCCATTCAGAATCGTAGTGACGGTTTAAACTGTGTATATAGAGTATATAATGAATTGCGGTGGCTAAATCAGTGCTTCTATTCTTCCAGACGAATCTGGTACCAGCTACTGATCCTGAGACGGTGGAGGGCTTGGTTGACTTACGGATTGATTGTCAATCCATGATAGATCTCCAACCCATGCATGTGTCATAGTGCGCTACTTCTCTTTACCCCACCTTCTCCCTGTTGTGTAAGTGGTATAATAAGAGTAAAAGTGAATCCCGGATTGAGATCCGTCTAAGCCATTCTCTCGGGGTCGGTTAATTAGCTCCAAGCTTGTCTGGGAGTATAAAAACTGCATATAAATGACCTGTATCGCATCCTATTTTAACCTGGTCTTGAGTTTCAGGTGATTCTGAGGATTTTCAGCTCAAGCACAACACGGTCGACATCTCTATAAAGGATGATGCTGTTGGCATTCGTTGTCAAAGTTGACTCATCCAAAACATATCCAGATCATCCATCCTGAAACAAATTCTTGGGATGTTTTAGATCCCTAAAAAAATCGAGTCAGCTGTACCCAACCCACTTTCAAGATGTGGAATACGTAACATTATAGAGTAAAAATTCTGGAAGCACCACGATACCGGTGGAAAGGCTACGCATCAGTAGGAAAAGTGGGCAGTTTCGCCCATTTATACAGTGCAACCAAGCAGTGGTTCTGATTGGTCATTCGACTAACCCTCAAACGTCCTTAAAAGTGACCGTCAGCTGAACGATATCTTTCTCAAGCAATATTTTCTATCGAAATTCAGGCGATGCATTACGAGAACTACGAAAACCGGACGGATGGCGTCCGATAACAAACGCTGCAGTAACGAGTCCGGGAGCACAAACACAATGGGGTTTGAAAATTCTGACGAATATTCAACTATTGCCAGCATTTTTGCACTGCTAATTATTATATTATCGGCGATTATAATTACTTGTTAACAAGCAGACTATATGCGATCATCAATTTATATATTCCATGATTTTTAGTTGACCTTTCAAGAAGACGTGGACCAATCGGCCCAGTTGGACCAACTACCAACCGTGTTCCTCCAAAGAACATCAGAGGTTCGTACCAAGAAAGGAAATCGTTTCTGGGTATCTCTGTCTTGTCTCACATTCCAAAGACTTAGCCTCTTAAAAGGCCGTAGAGATGAAGATTGCCCGTAGAGTCATGAGTTCCCAGCCATTCCACGTGAGACACCGTTGGAATTGAGCCAAAATCTTAGCGGTGCTAAGAAAAGATTCTGAGTGAGGGTGATGGACTTTTTGCTAGCAATAAGCTTAAGGAGATTAAGGATGGGAGGAACAAAAGTTTAGGTTCGATGCTGACCCCATCAAAAAGTAGCAGTGGAGAAACTGATGAAAGGGTTCATCCTCGTTGAGAAAGCGCAGACATAGGCACAAATCCATTATTACCCTCCGTGCTGAGTGGGCAAATGTATTACCCAAAGGTGTAGGTGTAGTCTGTGGAAATCAACCGATCCTCAGGAGCATGCTGTTGGTGCCTTCTTCACGGACAAGACGGATTCAATCGTCCGGTGTATGTATGACACAGTAGCCCAAACACACGCTGAAGCGCCTCCAAAACACCCGTAACACATACGACGTAAAAGAAAGGTACCCCACGGTGGTGGGTGGTTGGGTAGTAAGGAGCTACGGTGTCACACATCCACGGGACGTTAAAATCTCTCTTCACGTCATGGACCGGTTGGTTTCGCACTAACGCGGTCAAGTTGGCAAGTGTCGTTGTATTGGATGTCCATCATCCATAATGGCCAGTGGGTTACATCACAGAGGCGTGTAAGTGTATTTTGATGACCATGCAACAATCCCATGTAATTTCATTTAGCTTTTCAACAACAACAACGCCGTACTATTTTGGGACGGTATGAGTGGCTGCCTGTTTCGACTTTGCCATGATTTTTACTTTTCGATATAATTAGCTCACTAATTTTTAAAATCTCATTTCAGTACCGATCCCTCCCAGCAGATCACCGAATCGTTCTCCACCTTCGATTGTGCCAAACAGGCCGTTGAACAGGTCACCTTCTCCAACCCTTCCGAAAAAGACTCCTTCCAGCATGAACGCCGGACCGGTGCCCCCAACGACTCTTCCGCCCAAACCTAGGTATCATATACCCAGACCTCCTTCAGCGGTACCACCAAATTTTGGACCTCCAGGAGTGTCACCGCACTTCATGTTCAGGCAACAAAGAGTCAAACGTAACGCTTTACTCCGACGGAGACAGCGCCTGCGAAGGTCTCGTGCTATTTAAGGTTGCCGATCATGTTCATTTCGCATGGAGAAGACATCTGAGCAAGTGGGTGGGAGCGTGAGGCCATTACGCAGTGTTCTTCAGTACTATACTCGTAAGAGGGGAGGGATGTAGCCATAAATGAAAGTTGTGTGATGAGCTCACGAACTCCGCCCATATGCTCAGGGTGTAAAGTGTATAGAACGATCGTGCTATCATAAAAAGCGCTTTGACTTCGTTTCTCTTAGCTGATGTACCATAAAGGCAACTTGCCTTCTTCCACACATAAACTTCTTAATTCAGCGCCTTTTTGAACTACGTTCTCTTAATTGGGAGGCTGAAACGTGGATGTAGCCTCAAGTTTAACTCATTTGAATTGTCATCTTCACTTCTTTGTGTTTATCTCGCTAGCAGAAAAATCGATCGGATCTGAAGGTGTTTTCGAGTTGTAGAAAATCTAGGGGCACTGCCAAGTTTTTCAGAAAGTTAACCTCCATAAATATTTGAGTTGTACAAGTTTACAATTGCATGACGCAGGTTTATACATCGCGAAACACAGAGGAAATGTCGCTCTTTAGCGTTAACCAGGCCCCTCAGTAGCCACAATTAGCCTAGCCACAAAAATAAACACATGAGGAACGAAGGAGTAGACGTAAGAGGCAAACAGTTCATGCAGTGGGTCAGCTCGGACGTGGGTACTTTGTCTCGTCCGCAGTCGCACGCGGCAACCTGCGCTGCATAGACGATTTTAAAATTTGTTACTGGGGCGCGGGTGCGACGTGGGCTTGATTAGGTGATTAGCATGATTGAAAGATTTACGGCGGAAAGAGAGAATGTTGCAACTCAGAGTCACATAGCCTTAAATAAATCTTCACTTCTTCAACCACAAAAAGAAAGGGGTTGTCTAGGTGATGACTTCTAGTTACGTTCGACCTATCCCACTGCCATTACACTTGTTCGTTGCCATCCCCCTTCATCCCTACCTACAGTACGCTCAAGATATGGACTCATTGATTTTGATATAAATTTTGAAAAATGAAGGTACTTTTTGGGAATAGCAATGGGAGACATCTCCTGAGACATTAGTACCCGCCTTTCGGAAGCCACTAGGACCGTGCGATCTTTTCCTCGCTCTCTTTCATACCCAGACCATCGCTCCGGGAAGCCTCACAATCGCTTACCATACATAATCAATCAGAACCAAGTTTTTACCAGAAAATTTATCACAACATATTGAATAGACTTGGTCATAGAAAAAAAAAGACCGGTGTGAACGGCAACGAGCAGACGAATCATATGGATCAGCAGTACTGCCCAATGAAAATGGGCTCGTTTTTCCGGAAGATCCCATAGATGAATGGTCGATCTGCCACAAAGCGAGGGTTGATCACCATGGCACGTGTCATCATCATCATTCCTGTTGCTGCTGCAGCTTTAGTGCCCTCTTCGTTTATCTAAAAGTATTGAGTATTCAGTAGAGAACAAATTGGTGTTATAGGAGGAAGTTCTCCTTAGCATACATATAAAGTACACATGAATACATAGATATAGTGGGATGAAAACTTCACTGCAGCCGCATCGATTGGTATTGATTGGGGAATCATAAAGATTACCAAACGGGTGGGTAAATCATAGAATTCCTAACTTTACTTCATTTAATCTTTGAGTATTCGAATGCTGTGTTATGGGAAAATCCGGCACAGGGATGTCGATCCATAAGAATCGGGAGGTCACTGCGATCATGCCACATGTACGAGAACAGAATTGGAGTGTTCCAATCAACAAAAAAAATAGATAATGGCAAGAAACCGGTTTATCACTGTGCAGTGAAGTATTGATATTGATCGAAATCAATTTTTCATCAGATAGATCTGGCACATCAATCTCAACTCTTTAACGGTACAGCGTTCAAATCTCAGCAGTATAGAGGCGGTAAAATGGGGTTATGGCTCAGAAACATTGCCCAAATCTGATAAAGTGATAGTAAGTCTTTGCCTTCTGAGGCTGTTTCCTATTTTTGGGATGCACACCTGCATGCAACTTCCGTTCAGAATCGTAGTGGCGTTTGGATGCGTACGTGGCCTATGCTATGATTTATGGCGGCCAACAGAGTTCATGTCTGTGTTTTTAGCCAGGTGTGGTGCAGTAAATTCCAAGTGGTCGCTTTGCGGCGAGAGCGACGTCGCGCACGACGGAATGTAGCAGAGTAAGCCGAAGCAGCGCAGCTAGTAAGGAATACAGGA